AAACGTATCTACCGTTGAATTGGTTGGAAACATCGTGGCATATCTGCAAGTAAATTCTGTAAAAAATTCAGAAAGATCCTTCTCGAGAGAAAAATCAGATTCCCAGGATGGGACAAGAAGCGCATCTAAATTTTAAATCGCTCCAGCTCCTTAGGTATTTCCATATTAAATTCGTTCGATTCACGCTTGGTGCGAATTTATACGTGCTTACACGACGCGACGAGCAAATGCATATGTGTGTTTTATGGAAGCTTTTGAATTTCGAGAAAGTAAAAAGACGTGTTCAGTTGACAAGAACAAATGAAAGGATCATTTCGAAAGGGTATCGATCATCAACTTGTTGAATTTTTAGGTCTTTAAGAATGAAAAACACGAGTTTGAAAGAGTAAAATACGACAATTTAAATAAATTTGAATAGTGCTCGTTTCAACTTAATCAAGGGAACTTTACAAAGAAAGTAGCACGCATCATAATCACGAAGAATCCAAAATTTACACACCGCAAACATTTAACATGCAAACATATGCATGTTTTATGAAAGTCGGAGGCGTAATTTTTCGAATTTCGTAAAGGTAGAAAGACACGAGTTCAATCAACGAGAACAGATAAAAGGATCATTTCGAAAGGGTAGAATCGATCATCAACTTGTTGAATTTTTAAGCCTTTGAGAATAAAAAACGCAAGTTTGAAAGAGTAGAATACGACAATTTGAATAAATTTGAATAGTGCTCGTTTCAACTTAATCGAGGGAACTTTACAAAGAAAGTTAAAACTAGCGCGCATCATAATCACGAAGAATCCAAAATTTACACACCGCAAACATTTAACATGCAAACATATGCACGTTTTATGAAAGTCGGAGGCGTAATTTTTCGAATTTCGTAAAGATAGAAAGACACGAGTTCAATCAACGAGAACAAACAAAAGGATCATTTCGAAAAAGGGTAGAATCGGTCGTCAACTTATTGAATGTTAAACTCTTTAAGAATAGAAAACGCGACCTTGGGAGGAGAAGTTGCAAATTTAAATAAATTTGAACGATGCTCATTCCAACTTAATCGAGGAAACTCTACAAAGAAAGTCAAAACTAGCGCGTATCGTAATCGCCGGGTTGTTACGAAGGATCCACAAGCATGGAGCCCTTGTGCTTTCCTCTGTACAGAAGGCAACTGTTAACGACATCTCGAGACGTCGCCTCTCTCTTTGCATCGACGTCGTTCGAACCGACGGAGAGCACTCAGCCCCACAAAGACGGTGGACAAAGAGGGGTTCCTCTGCCGTCACAATGCTCGAGAGTACATTCTGCGGACAAAATCGAATTAGTTACTCCCTGCCGGGGCTCACCTTGGCTCCTTTTTCCCCTCTGCTTTTATTCCCTCGACTCTTGTTATTATACGATGCTCGTCGTGCGGTTTTGTTCTTTGTCAGAAGGGAACAAGGGACGACGTCTTTAATTTCATGTGCAAAAGTTTCATCGTCGCGTTCAACGTCGTTCGCGTAAACAAAAAAGTCCCGCGAGTGGTCTTCTTCCATGTTCGATCTCAGAATCGTTGTTCTCCGCAAGCAAGAATTAATTAGCGGTAAGCGTGACTGATTAATTTCTTCGTGGTTACGTCGCGTCCCCTAATTTCCTTACTCGCGAGCTAATATTTATCACGCGCGGAACACCCGGTGTGTATTAACGTCAACTGCGAAGCGAATTTGCAAATTGGTTTGCTCTAAGTCTCGCGAAACGCTCAATTTTCCTTCGAGTGAACGATCCTCGCGACGTTTGCCACCGCAAACTTGCCAAAACGTGCAACATTTGATGTTGACCAATCGAGCGGGATCTCGTTTTATAGTTTTCGTGGTTGACGTTGAATGATTTGTTCATTGTCGGCACCGAGCAGTTGAATGCAGTTCTATTCTCTGCATAATTTGAAAAATATCGCTATCGTTACGTACGAACGTGGATAAATTTATTCGCCGACGCCTTTTGGATTTTATTTTTACACGAGTGTTACTTGTTTTCATACGTTTAGAGATTGATGGACTCTGGACTCTCGGGGGAACGGGTTGTTCTCACTTTCAACCATGTCGTATTAAACTACACAGTGACTATTCATAACGCTGGAACACTAAAGTGGCAAAATTTGTAGCAGGGAAATTGCAGTGCAAGGGAAAATATTTGTAATATCATATAAAGTTAAGATATATTTATATTTATATTTTTATAATATATGATATAATTTATATTTATAATATTTTTATAATGTATAATATAATTTATATTTATAATATATTATAATAATATACGTAATATAGTTATACTATATACTATATAATATATTTATAATAACATTGAGATATATTTTACTAAATTTACAATGCAGTGAAGAGCATTACTATCTTTTGATTAAAATATAAGGTATATTTTAAAATGGTTCAGTGGTCCCTAAAGACACACTGTTTCAAATCTATGAAATTTCTATGGAGAATTCCATGGTCATTTCGATCGCTTTAGTTCTAGCGTTAATTTCCGCTTTTCGTGTTGAAACCGTGTTCCCGAGGATCTACGTGCTCGTAGTTTTCCACGTGATTTACCTCTTTAGAGTAGCAATTATGCTAACTGCGTCGTAAACGCCTTAACCAAATGGTATTGCGTACTTGTTGTACGAGTATATTCTTCTCGGTATAGTCTGGTGGCATTGTGTGTGTCGATCCCAGTGTTTCGCATCGATACGATACTGGACTATTGCGTATTCTGCAATACATGTTAGCATTGCTCAAGTTTGCACGTATATATATTATATATATAATATACAGAATGAATATATACTATATATATGTATTATATACGTGTACTATGTATAGTATATACTAAGCATTGTAAGCAATAGTTCCATTGACATTCGCCTGTTTACCAATTGCATAAGATAATTAATTCCCAATATCAATTGACAATGTCGTCTGCTGTTCATCGAACTAAATTTCATTAATGCTTCTGTGTTGGTTTGATCGACGCGTTCGTGATAATGTCATAACGTTCCCAGAATAGTTATACCGCAATATTATAATGGAATACGCAATATTACTTCTAAGAAGAACAAATTATAGCGCGCAATTTCAAACACGATAACGAGATACGCGATTTCGTCAGGGTACAGAAAGTTTCAGATGTGATTTAGAATGATCTATTTACTTTTTGACAGTTTTTTTGCTTTTGCAGAGTTTCTCTACTACGTTAGAGAATATCAGAATTTCTGAATTGCGTGAATTAATTCGGTGTCTTTACAGCTACCTCTGTTTCAGATCCACGTGCTTTCTCGTTCTGAAAGTTTCAGCTCGTGTGGAAACACTTATATTATTCACTTCGCAATTTAAAATTAAATATGAATTAATCTCGAACCGCGGTAGTGAACGTATTAATAATATTTCGCAGCTCGAAGGTGAAATTCTGGAAAGGCACTGAATTAATTTACACGGGTAATAAATGCGACGGAATTCGAATGAATTTTGTGACTTCGGGTTGTTGGTTGAAACGTCTGATTCGCTCTTTTGGCTAGATACTGAGGGAACTTTCTCTATTAAGAACTTTATAAAGAAGTTCCTTTTGTGCTAGTTCATCTTCATACTCTCCTCGGTAACGTTTACATTTTCTTTCACCGAAACATTCATCATTCTTTCTTCTTATCCCATTTCCACACCACCGCAGTTAATGCAGCGCCGTTTTTCGTACAATTTTTCACGAAATTAGTATTAACAAATAACAGGATTGATTCAGCGAATCTTTGCTGTTCCAATATCAACGATCTACGTCGGTTCAATAGCAAAAGTAAACTTTCCAACTCCATCACAAATTTACTAATTGTTAGCAAATATTCATTGTTAATTAAGATCTTATTCCTGCTAGTTTTTCGTTATAAGAAGATGGAATGTGAAAGACGCTTGTTTTTTTTTTTTTTTATGAAGAAGTAATTTTTCCATCTCCATTCATTTGTAAATAAAACTAATTATTCGTATGGTGAAATAATCACGAAAATTGAATCGATAATCATCATTGCTTATTCTCAATCTTAATTAAACCTTGACGTATAGACGTTCAATTTCATTTTGTTGACGAATACTAAGTCTTGAATGTAATTGAATCTGCCAATCTGTATAAACTGCAATGTTCTCACTAGCTGCGCATGCTATGATAAAATATGTTTCATAAAATTCTCATTTTATCGTCCATTAACAACCGTGCATAATCGTCATTTTATAGGTCCATTCTTATTAAGAATAATTAATGCGTCATAACAATAATTGATATGACTGTTATCTTTAAGGAAAAAACGAACGTGTATTTCTAAATACGATAAGATTCTAAATATACAAATGCCAAAACTTCGAAAGCGTATAAAGAACGTTCTTTAGAGAACAGGTTTTCGCCTTTTCATTCATTTATTTACACTTGTATCATCTATTTTAATAAAGACACTGTTCAAAAGATTGGCGCAGCAACTTGCAACTATGTAAGCATTACATCGAACATGGATCACTCTATTTGTAGTTAGACGTAGTTGTTTGATGTACTGCAGCTACGATTTCAGTTACTCTCCTGAGTTGATTGGCATCGTACAAACTTGTTGAACAAGCACGATCAAAACTTCTTTCGTTTCGTTTCTTTCGCAATTTTTCTTTCCATTCCAGAGAATTCTCTAGAGAAACGAGCAAATATCTGAAGAGCTTTTTTCTCAGAGAATTTTCTTTCTTTCGTTCGTTTATACGCCTTTAAACGCTCCCGAAATGTTTAAATTTGGGACACTCTGTATATCTCTATAACTAACAAATGTCGTGCCTTTAACACGACAGAAGCAACATCTCGGTATTATCGATTCGTTCGAAACCTGATTGTTGAATCGTTACAACACGTTTCGCTGAAAACCATCCGTCATTCGATGGTTAATTAAAACGATTACCAGCGCGAATGATTAATCCCACTCTGTCAATACAACAACGATCCATCTACGTTTCAGGGAAAGCGTGAAGAGCGGGCATCACTGTTGCCCTTGCCAGGTGCCGCCCCCTCCGGTTCTGGTTACAACGTCGCCGAGCGCACGCATAATACGACAAAGCTCGCAACCGGAAGCGTCCGCGTGCTGCTGTTCCGGATGCTGTTGCCCCTTGCACACCGGCACCGCGCCAAGTGCTGCCTCTCTGCGGCAGTTGCGCGAGCCTAGCGACGGAATTGCCGGCATCGCGGCGGACTCGCTGCGGATCAATGGCGGTATTCGACAATTCCGGCAGGTAAGCGCAACCAAACACAACCCAGCTGACCAACCGATCAGACAGAAAGGGTTTCTGCAGTGCACCCACCCCGCCGCCGCCACTACCACCCTTGTGTTTTTGCACGTAGACGCGCATACGCGCGTACCACCCGGTCGTGTTCACAGCTGGCCCATTTCCTTGAATTGCTCACCCCCATATATCGTTTCCACCATTTCACTTGTACGTTTATCATGCTTTCACGTCGTACGGAAGAGGAAAACCTGGATGCCCGTTCCTCTTGAGGACCTGTTTCATAGCAGAAGCTATTGCTGGCTGCTGTACATTGGCTCGAGCGAGAGACAACGCGTAGATCTATTTAGTTTTGTTCTTTTCCACGCTCAAAGTGGCAAATGCTTTTGTTTCCTTCTGGTCTCTCTTGTTTCCTCGCGAATTATTCGTGCTTTCGAAATAATTGATTCTTCTCGAAACTGAACACCTTGTACATCTTTGTATTTTTTTTTTTTTTTTTTTGGTCTTTCCTGCGTGTTTTTTTTTTGGTATTTATATTATTTTAATTCTATTTAATGTCATTCCTGTTACGTTATTTTGATTATACAGTTATTTAAATTTTTCAAGAGTTTGATAGTGCTAAAGAGACTCGTGAGGATAGATTCATGGAGGCATTTTTTAGAAAACCAATTCAATCTCTCTTTGATAATAAATATAAAATAAAATACTCGTGTCTTTATCCTCACATATTGATACATATTTCTACGACAACTTTCGTATTTTGCTCATTTAACACTGTTCCAATCATTTACGCGAGAGCGCAATATATGTAAACTCCTCATCGTGGCATCCAGGTTCCGATATCAAAGAAAGAAAGCAAGAAAAAAAAAAAAGGAAAAGAGAAACGTTCTGTTGTTTGGCGTCGCTGTGTCGTTGTCTATGCTGCTTGTATCGTTGATGATCCGTCCGATCGGTGCACCAAGGCATACCCAGAACACGTGTCGTATTTGCGTACACCGCTCAGCTCTACGCGCACCCAGTTTGGTTGTCACCCCCTGTGATCTCTTCGTGTCTCGATATTTGTACCGTCCCCTGGGGAATCTTGGTTCTGGACCCTGCTTCGCACGCGTGACTAGGCACTCGAAATACGCTCCCCTTGTCACTCCCTTTCTTTACTCTTGCGTTTGAGCCCCACGTTTGGCGTGTCGACGCGAATCGCAAATGATCACTAGAACCGAACGATACTCGGGTCAATTTCAGAAATTATCGTGGACTTTGAGAATCATCCTGCGGTAGGAGCTGTTAGAAAGACCGACGATTCTGTTGGGTCTATAATTTGTTTGTTCATTTCAAATGGCACAGAGAATATTAGGACAGAGGTTTATTCAAAAGATATAATAATTGTTGGGAGAGGCGTTTATGTGAGTGTTTAAATGAGAAAGTGAAGAGCCGAATGGAAAATTGGATTTTAAACTTGTAGACAGGGATAATGAAGTATGGTAAAAAAATTTTAATTCTTAGCACAAATCGAATAAAGTAAATGTAACATAAAAAAGTTACTTACATTGTACGAGACTGTCGGTCGAAAGTTTGATATTACTACGTATTTCTGAAAGAACTCTAGTAGGAAACTTAATGATGAAAATATTCGAGTATATTTTAAAAATATTGACAGTAAAGTCAGCAGATAAACACAAGTTATATAACTAAAGAACTTATTCCGAATTCACGATGCAAACAAAGATCACCATCAAAATTAATCTAAGGGTCGATAGTTCGCGATGTCGCACGCTTGCAGAAATATTTTCCAAGCGATAAAACCACAGCGGAGAGAATTTCATTTGTCAGCGCAGCTATCTGGAAGTTACGTCGCGTTTAAAATTTCTTCCCCGAACAAAACAGCCCTCTTTATCGGTAGAATGCCAGTGCTGCCATCTAACAGAGGGTTGAAACTTCGAGCGAAAGGCACCCCTAAGCAACAATAGCCGGATACCGACGGACGTGGCAGGAAAAGTGGGAAGCCAACGCGCGATAAGAGGATCGTCAGGCTGGTTGACGAAACTGGTCTGGTAACGTTTCACCGTAGATGGCACCGTGTGCAAAGAATAGCTCTCGCTTCTGGAAGGACAAACACCACGGGAACGCACACTTACCGTACTAACGTAGATCTCGCAAAGAAATTCCATGAATTCGGTAGAGAACTGCACCGTGTGATCGATCGCTTGGGAATACTTGTAGAACTCTGGCACAGCTGAACGAATAACCGGGCGAATTATTTATGTCAATACGGTTCGAAATAATCGATGAGTTGCATAAACACACAACCGGGACCGCAATATTTCATACGTGACGTGGATTTATGCGCGCACGATGCATATCTGTTTTCATTGATTTACAGTGGCAGTGATGGAATTTTTGTCGAATTTCCTTGAATCAAGAACGTCGCGAGATGAACGATGAATGAATTTGATTAAGGGCTGCATTCAACGCGGGAAACAACTATCATAAAACAGTCCATGATCCATATGATGAATTTTATCGATGAGATAAAATATTTATAAAAAAAAAAAAAAAAAAAGGAAAACGTGGGAAGTGCTTTCAAAGTCTCAACTATCGATTGAAAGTTTGAGATCACGCGTGGAAGTGTTCTAAAAGATTCAAAGAAATTTTCAGAGAAAGGTTTTTGAATACTTTTCAGTCAAAAATCTATGAAACTAAGGAAAATTATAAGTCAAAGAAAATCTCAAATTTCAATTTCAACAGATTAAAGAGATTCGTAGAGCAGCTCGGGAAGAATTTCCAAATTTTCAATATGAACTGCTTCGTATATTACAATTTGCGAAATCAATGAACTATCTACGGTAATAAATAAATATATTCGAGAGACAAAAGTCCATGAGCAATCAACCGAGGAACCTGCGACGTCGCGAAATTTTCCCTGTATCTGCATTTCGCGAAAAAGTCGTAGCGGTTCTCGTGAACCAGGTAATTTGCTTATTCCCGAGAGTCTGGTCCTTGACGAGCGACGAAACGAGTCTCCTGTCGTCATTAAACGAGATCCAGTGCATGAAAGCACCGAAAAAAGAAGAGAAAGAAAAGAGAAGGAAGAGAGAAAAGAATGGGGGGCGGGGAGAAGGGAGATAAACAAGGAAGATGAAGGGACGAGAGACGTCGGGGAAAGAAGCGAGGAGAGCACAGCGCGCAAGCGAGATCTCGACATTGTTAGTTTAATTATCTCTCCTCGATGCGACGAAACACTTCGTATCATACGGACACTTAGGGCAATCGGGGATAGGAGGGGCGAAAGGGTGGGTTTTCTATGCGATTTTGGCCGGAAGCCAGCGGATTATAATCATGCTCCCCTGCATGTCGTGCACGAAAGTTTGCGACGTATAACCGTGACACGAGAGATAATTGAGACCCTTTTCTCTTGCTACGAACAACTCTTTCATTTTCATTTTTTTTTCTTTTTTGTTCTTCAACTCTTTCTTCCCTCGTCACATTTTCATTTTGTTGCTTTTATATATATATATATTTTTTTTTTTGATTGATAGTCGAGAGAGAATTTTTAAGATTGGTATACGAGTTAATGAATCCGGACGAGCTATAGAAGTTGTTTTATTTCCGAAGGAAAATTGGCTGGCGAGCGTACAGAGGCCAAGTGTCCATTTGATCGAGGGCGAATAAGATTTATGGCATTTCGGGGCCGCATACTATTCCGTATTCGACGCTTTTACTTCGTAGCGGGTTGTTATCGCGCTGGTACTTAGTTTTCATTTTCGTAGCCTGGCGGCTTTTGCTGACGCGGCCACGTCTGACTTATGGCTGGCCTGTTCCACTGCGCACGATAATTTACAGCCGATTTTTCGCAATCCCCAGACGCATTTTCTTGTAGACTAGAACGCCTAGACACGTCCTGATCGTTCTCTGTATCGCTCGCTTTAACGATAATTGACACTTTTATAGGAAAATTTGTCAAAAATTCTATAGATAGAGGTAACACGTGTTCCACCAGCCGGTTGCCACTGCATCCTGGGAAATGAAGCGGATGGGATCCGGGGCTTACTTTAAAAGCAAGGACAGCGGATTTTTATCGCGTGCAGGAGATCTTAAGCACGACTCGCTTCGGGGAGTTCTTTCCCGTGTTCGCGCGAAAATCTATCGGGATGCACTTAAAATGATTCTTGCGTCCCTGCTGCAATAAATCCTATCCATTTCGGGGGAGTGTGGAGGGAGATGGGGAGGGGAAGAGAAGAGAGTAGACGTTCCCCACTACTCTAGAGATCTAGGAAAATATTTCGCGCGGCGTGAATATTTTACAACGTTAAGAAAGTTTCGTGAGAAAAAAAAAAAGAAAAAAAAGGTAGAGACGCCTCGAAAACTTTAATTCTCCACTTTTGAAAGTTGGTTCTCCACTTTGATTTTCACCACATGCCCCAACGACTCATCCACTTACACACTTCGAAACACACACTTGGTTGGTAGTTTTCGCGTTTTCGAGGAACTCGAACTCCGTGTAAATTTCTGTAAAAACACGTTCAGTTTGTGTCCCTTGTTCCGCAATTACGGTTAACATTTTAATGTTCTCCACGTGCCCAGCATTTCGATTTTACACGTTACACGTTGTTACAACTTATTGTTATAAGTGTTACCCCTTTGTTTGGTTAATCAGACGTTGTATAATACACATACCCCTTTTACACGTTTGTGACTAATCGATATCGAGGTAACAAGGAAGAAGCTACGATCACTTTTAATTAACTCACTTGTTTCACTTAATTAATTAGGCGAAAACGCAAATTACAAGTACAATCAGTATTAAGAGTATAAACCGTCACGTGATAATTACAGAATATTAAGCGTATATTGTTGCCCTTGAAAGGCAGAGAATTAAATTAATTAACACGTTCGCTGCTACTGAAAAATTTCTACTCAACAGTATTTTCCCTTTCATTAAAAGTATTTTTCTTTCTCTTCAAATAACAATATTTCTCTAACGCGTTGTCTACTGTTTAATTATTGTATAAATT